CACCCCCCACCCCACCCCCTCTAGTCTCGTATTCTACTTTTTTTTTGTACTTTTTATAAGAGTCAACTCGTAGCCCGGAAAAATGGGTATGGAAATTCGAAATGCTGTGTCATTATGTCGTGAAATTTTTGGTTCTCTTTTAAGTCTGCTTTTTTTTTTTATTCTAGTCTCTTCCTGTATGATTTTATTCGCGGTATTGTGAGCAAAATATGGCGCTCCCAGTTTGTTAAAACGCGGAACCCATTAATTTTTACAATGCGTGGAAAGGGGGGGGGGGACATTACATTTTTTTTTTTTGCACTCTCAATTGCAAGAGACCAAAAAGCTTCACGTTTTTGGCAGTACTTCAAAAAATAAAAAAGAGTGTACAGTCATAAAGACGTGCTCCTTGATTTATGTTTAGGTGCCATACGGTTCCAAACACGCCAAAAGGTGTTTTAAAAACTGAAATCGAACGACCGCTTACTACATTAGCGATGTATATTATTTATACAGAGAATCACATATGATTTTGTCGTATCTACTGGGCGAAGCGAGGTTTCCACAGCAACCAAATAACTATTACACCGTTAACTCCAACGAACACAGCCCGAATTAAGTCGTCATTATCACCCAGATGATCAATCACGAGTGAAATCACGCGAGCGGCTTTATCAGGAGCTGCCAATTTTTTAAGTTTCTAAAATGATACAGAACTGTGGGGAAGAGACCGCTGGGGAGACCTAGACGTAGATGGGAGGATAATCTCAGGTGGGATCTATGGGAGATAGGAGTTGAAGGAGACTGGATTTTGTTGGCCCAGGACAGGGTCTGGTGGAGGGCTTTGGTTAATTCGGTGATGAACCTTCGGGTTCCGTAAGCCATCTGGTTGGTTGGGTCCACTATTTGGGAAGCCTGAGGGGAAGAGACCTCTGGGGAGACCTAGACGTAGATGGGAGGATAATGTCAGGCGGGATCTATGGGAGATTGGAGTCGAAGGAGACTGGATTTTGTTGGCCCAGGACAGGGTCCGGTGGAGGGCTTTGGTTAATTCGGTGATGAACCTTCGGGTTCCCTAAGCCATCTTGTTAGTTAAGATACTACACAACACGTAATAAGCAACACTGACAATTTCAATATTCGTCTAATATAATACACGAAGTTGTAGAAATTTTCCGATTAATTATTCAAAAAAAAAAAAAAATATATATTCGCCCTAAAGCAAGAAAATTTCTGCTTCTCGCAGATGCTTCATACAACCAATGAAACATGAAACGTGCTGACAAACACTTGCCATCAACAAGTAAGTCGATTACTGCTTACTATTTCACAACACTACATTACGCTGACACCGAAAATGAACGAGCCGAGCAAGTCAAAGGCGTAATCACAGGCCGACGAAGAGTAGGGCAGCCTCTGAAGCCTTCGAAGATGGCCCTCAAAGGAAATTGCCGATCTCGAGAGCAAAACACGACGAACCTAAGATTATCCTGTATAAAAGTTGATACTCAATCCCAAGTTCTCTCCGTGTCTTCTTTGTGCCCTGTGGGGGCAAACCCGCGGACAAGAGACAGCGCGCAGTAGGAGGGACAAGGTGGCCCATAAAGTGGATTTCTGCTTACGCAGGCAATCTGATCAGCAGGGGCGGCGATTGGGTTGCAGAATTAGCCAGGGGGAGGGAACATTCAGCAGCGAGCTCTTAAAGCG